ATAGAAGCAGAAGAGTTTCTTAGAACTTGCAGTTCTTCTCTCACAATCCCCAGGTGTTTAATATTGCCAGATATTACAGATCTTTTAAGGCAGGAAAGTATGACTTCTAAGCTAGTGTGAGGCTCATCTCTTTGGAGAAATTACTCTGTATGTTCTACTGTTATCCCACAATCCTAGCTCCTAGCCTATCCTCTTGTTAAACACTAAAACCTTTACCCTAAAGCATCTTTAAGGAGTTTATCACACGGGGGAAATCCCGTGCAGAAACAGGGTTTTAAATTGAAAAAAACCCGCAAAAGCGGGCAGATTTTCAGACGACATCATTGTTAAAATGGGGTTAACACGAACAGAAAGTAGTCAGAAACTGCTTCTTTTTACTTTCAGAAAATTCTGAAAGTAAAGTTTTTGACTACTTTCCGTTTGGGTTTTTGACTACTTTCCGTTTGGGTTAACCCCATTTTAACAGCAATGTGTGTGAAAATCTGCCCGCTTTTGCGGGTTTCCCCCACCTTATAAATCCCATTTCTGCACAGGATTTCCCCCGTGTGATAAACTCCTTTATCTAGCATCCTAATGCAAAAGGGTATCAAAGAAGCAGGTCACAACAATACGCGCTTATATCGGGCTGCCAGTTCAGGATCATCTCAGAGGTCATCCTGTGGTTTCTTGGCAAAACCTTGAGACAGGCCCTGGTGATGTCACTGGGTGTTATGCACTGAATCCCAACTAGCATTGCTCACAGCTTGTTATTCAAACACACCCACCTACCCACGTGTTTCTAGGGGGATGGGAGGTGCAGACTGCAACGGGTGACACTTCAGCAGGGACGTCTCCTGGTGCGCTTGTGGGAAGAGACTGCCTTCCGGTGTGTACTGCTGCATCTCTCCATGGGTAGACTGAAACTGAAGGTCCTAGGAAGGACCCATTCCACCTGCCCAGATATGGCAAAGAAGATGGCCAGGATGCTGCTAGCATGCCACACTGAACTCCTGGGGACTTCTTGCCTTGCCAAATGGTGCCTGGACCTCTTCAGGAGTTGTGATCAAGACCAGTAGACTGAACAGCTTGGGACATGGATGGTCCCTTCAGGTGTCCCAGTCCACCAGCCGTTGGTGGCAAGTAGACCAGAGCCTTTCTCTTCCATAGTGGAGGGACCACTAGTCCAGTGGCTCCAAATCTGGGAATGACAGCATGAACTACCGCAGTGGGGTGACACCAATCCTAGTGATGCCACTGTGCTCACACACATTGTATTTTCCTATTTGAAAATTAAGGCTAGAGGATCTGTTCCCAGATCAAGATGAAATGAGATTATTCCTTCTCACTTACTTTGCAAGATGGGAAAACAATATTTAATGCAGCCTACTTGGGACTGAGCAGAGCAGTGGAGAACAGGGAGTTCGGGAGATGTCTCATCTACAGGGTTGCCATGGGTGGAGATTGACTCGAGGGTGGACAACAACAACAACAACAACAAACAACAACATATTTCTAATGAGAGCCAACATGATATAATTGTTTAAGTGTTGGACTACAACTCTGGAGACCAGGGTTTGATTCCCAACTTGGCCATCAAACCACCTTGGGCAAGTCACATGCTCTCAGTTTCAGAGGAAGGCAATGGCAAACCTCCTCTGAACAAATTGTGCTTAGAAAACCCCATGATAGATTAGTCTCAGGGTCAGCATAATCCAGAAATGGTTTGAAGGCACACACAACAAAACTTATTTCTAGCCAGAAGGTGGATGCAAAGCAGAACAGAAGGGTGACCACAGTGACTGGGAGGGAAGGAGGAAGTAAATATATAGACTTCTCTTATATGTGAATCTGAATTTTCTGGTTCTCTGGACCCGAATAAAGAATTGTTTTTGTAAAATACATAGATCCCCTGGAAGTCATTGCAAGAAGCAGCATAAAATCAATCAATCTTACAAATTGTACCAAGATGTTGCTTTACTAGGAGATATGGAGATCTGAACACTGCTGTTTCCTCTTGCCTGGAGCTGAGTTCTCCAAAATGGGAGAATTTGCACCCTTGTCTCCCACCTGGAGATGACCCATGAAAACTGTAGCCTTGAGGTCAGGTTGTGAGATCTAGCAACCCTACCATCCCCATTTTCTGACCCCAATTCCTGTTAACTAGTGGTGTAAACAGAGCTGGATCCTGAGCCAAAGTTGAGGGCACCACAGAGCCTGCCCTCCAGCTCCAAATGAGCAGGACCTAGAGATCCCAGGTACTTGCATTGGGGCAAACAAACCAGGTATCAGTGTTTGGGCCAGCACAGGTGAGCCTGAGCTCACTGGACCTAGTGCCATAATGTCCTTTTTTTAATGTTTAGAAATATTTTATAGTTGAGGAGTGGCTGGTAGGCAAGTAGAGCTGCTTACTTTATTATATTTACTTTTAAAGCATATTAAAACTTGCTACAACAAAATGGTGCTTATTCGAAAGTAAATGTGTTAGCATCAAAGCGGTGGAAGCAAATGCCATTTTATTTCATAGTGGTGCTCTGAAATCCAGTGAGTTTCGAATTCAAAACTGCACCTGCTCAGAGTAATTTTTTAAAAATCAGGCTTGGAAGGTAATTTTTTTTGTTTGCTTCTTCTAAGGCTGCATCCACACTGCAAAAATAATCCAGTTCGACACTGCTTTAATGGTCATGGCTCCATGCTATGGAATTTTGGGAATTGCAATTTAGTGAGACATTTAGCCTTTAGACCAGTGGTTCTCAACCTTTCTAATGCTGTGACCCCGCAAT